GTCACCAACATATACAAAGAAAAAAAGCCAAAGAGATGAGGTCACCCACCGGAAATAAACGACGACGTGGAGACTTGGTGAAGGAAGAAGAATGGTGACCGTGACTGGTGACTACCGACCGTTAAGCAACAAATCTGAGAACTAAGAGTGAGAGACTCCGGCGTGACCGCGTGACTCCGGCGTGAGAACTGACAAGTGAGACAGAGACTCTGAGAGTGTGAGAGACTGACGGTTACTGAGGTCTGAGGTGAGTGTTTGAGTACCGGCGTCGGCGCGAGTGCGTCTGAGATCTGAGTACTGTCGTACTGGAGCAGTGGAGCTGCCGTCTACCGAGCTGGAGAGTGGAGACTGGAGTAGACTGAGTAGTGAAGACTGAGTAGTGAAGACTGAAGAATGAAGTAGTGAAGTGAGTGTCTGAGACTGAGTGAGACCGTGAGACTGTGAGAGTGTTAGATGGTGTTAGGGTTTGGGATTGCAAATGCAAAATAAAAACGTAAAAATTAAAATGCAATAATTTTTTTAAAATTTCGGTTCATAAAACCGGTTCCGGGTAACCGGTTTTCTTTGTTTCAAAAACCAAAACCGAACAGGATATCCGATTTTTTTAATATCTGAACCGAAACTGAAAAAAAACTGAATTTTCTGTCCGGTTCGGTTTTCAGGTTTTTTTTTCCACCCCTACCACGAGCTGGTCGATTCTTGGTAAAGGGAAGTTGTCTTTAGGATAGACCTTGTTGAGGTCGCTAAAGTAGACACAGGTTTGCCACTTGCCATTAGGCTTGTTTACCAGAACCGGGTTGACAACCCAGGTCGGGTAGAGTGCCTCTCGGATGGACCCGTTTCGAAGGAGGTTGTCCACCTCTAATTTCAAGGCGGCATATCGTTCCGGATCCAATACTCTTCTTTTCTGGCGAATTGGCTTGGCTTCGATGTCGATGTTTAAGGCATGACAAATGATGTCCGGGCTGATCCCGACCATATCTGCATGCGACCATGCAAACACATCGATATTTTCTTTCAGGAAGTTGGTCAGCTCGGAGGCGAGCTGGGGGTTGAGACTATTCTTAATCCTTAACACTCGGCTCGGCTCTTTCAGGTCGACCGACACTTCGAACAAATCCCTAACTGGGCCGCTTGAAAGGCTTTCCTGAATTCGAGGATCTATATTATCCTCTGCTGGGTCAGGTTGCAGCTCGATCTGGCTTATCGCCATAGCATGTCGGGGAATACCTCGCGAAATGCCCTTCCCTTTACACGCCATCTGCACTGCTTTTATGTGGCAATCGCGAGATGCGCTTTGCGATCCGCTTACTTCCCCTACCCCCATCGGGGTGGGAAACTTCATCTTGAAATAGTATATGGAAGTGACCGTCTTGAAGCTTCTCAGTAGAGGTAGCCCCAGGATTCCGTTGAAGGCAGATGGGCAATCCACGACCAAGAATTCAGTAACTTTAGTCACTTCGTCATAGTCACCCAACGTGACCAGAAGTTGGATCGTTCCTCTGGGCATCAGGTGGTCCCCTGTAAAGCCGTAAAGAGGGATCGAGGCGAGCTTCAGGTCGGCCTCGTCTAAGATCATTCTTTTGAAAGTGATCTAGAACAGGATGTTCACAGCGCTTTCGTTTTCCACTAGGATTCTGCGGACGTTATGGTGCCCTATGAGGGGCATGATCACAAGGGCGTTATCGTGAGGATGATGCAAACGGGCTGCCTCCTTCTCGTAGAAGGTGATCGGCTCCTCCTTGCGAACCTTTTGTGGTCGCTGCGATGTGTTCATCACCCTGATTAGGTCGTGATGAGCTTCGCGAGCGTATCTTTCTTGCGCACCTTGCGGGGTCCTCCAAAGATTATGTTAACACTACTATACTCTTTGCGATCACAACGCTTTTTCCCTTGCTTCCCTTGGCTCTTCTCCTACGTGGGGGCGGAGTCGTCAATATACTCCTTGAAGTGCCCTTTCTTGATGAGCTCTTTGATTGCTTGCTTTAGAGCTCGGCACTCATCGGTGTGATGCATGTTGTCCCGATGGAAGCGACAGTATTTTTTATTATTTCTGACTGTCGCAGGAGTTTTCATGGGCTCGGGCTCACCGAGTAGACTGACTTCCTCGGATTTATAAAGAATGGCAAATATAGACGCATTCAGTGGAGTATATTGGATTCTATCGCGATCGTGACGAGGAACATGAGCATAAGACTTTTTGTGCTCGTAGCGAGGTTTCTTCCCTTTTCGCTGATCGTCAACGTCCCCTCTGCGATCAGCTTTTCTACCTTCGCCCCGACCAGACATACTGCCCGAAGCATCAGGGTCGCGACGGCGAAGTGTCGCCAATGAATTTTCTATCCGGAGGTACTTCTCCGCAAGGTTATAGAATCCTGTGAGGGAAACATCGTCCTTAGCTTGTAATTCTTTCCACAGGTCGATTTGTGGACGAACTCCGGCAATGATGAGAGTCCGAACAGACTCTTCAGGAGTATGAGCCACCTTGTTGAGTTCTCTGTGGAAACGGTCAATGTAGGACTAGAGGGATTCATCCCTTTCTTGCCTTATATTGCTGAGGTAGCTCAAAGGCATCGAAAACTTTTGATACGCTTGAAAATGTCTTAAGAACGTCGTGTTCATCTGAGGCCACGAACTGAGCGACCTGAACCACCGTTTTGCATGGGAGGTCAACGTCACTGCCAAGCAGTGGCAATGGAGCCGCTTGGGGGTTGCTTTCACCCATGCGAGTTCGATTCTCGCGGTTGCAATTGAGGAATGTTCGGAGGTCGGGTTCCTCTTCGCCTCGGCCGGCGGTTCCAGCCACTCTCGACACACGCTGGCTAGAGGCGTGTGATGGCGATGAAAGGTGCGAGGTATTTTCACGACCTTTGCAGTGGTAAGAACCGCCCCGCGAAGTGTAAGACCCTCTCGCACGATGACGATCTTTGCTAGCAGTGATAAGAATCGCCCCGTCCAACACTTTTATGAGTGTGTACTTGCGACGTGGCATGGGACAGCTCAGGCTGCGTCTTTTCACCGAGTCTCAACTAGACTGGTATTATGTTTGGGACGCGGTCGGTGTTTGCTGGCCCCTTAGAGCCCGTGGGCTTGTTTTTTGCCACTTGCTTAACCTTTCGTCTACGTGTTGCAGTGCTTGCGGCACGGGCTATTTCCCTTTGCCGCGCTTTCACACGACCTGCAGGCGTTTGTGGCGGTTGCACCGCCGCAGCTGACTTGGATGGCGCGCCTTGGTCCAAACGGTCCAACCTTTAGTTGACCGTCTGGAGAGTATTGTCAAACCTCTCCAGGTAGCTTCTTATAGTGGGGTCAAGCTGTGAACTTGACGGGATATCTCCTGCGGCATTTTGCAAGGCTGAAAGTTTTTTGGAAGAAGTATCCCCTTGAACTTGGGAGAGCCCCTCAGCGCCCTGGTTGGTTTGCTCAGGTTCTGGTTGGCAGGTCATTTGTTGTTGTAGGACCAGTAAGTTGGAGATTCTCCTGATGAAGGGTGAACACTAAATTAAGCCCTCCTTCTAGCGCCAAACTATTGATGCGTGATTTTTACACCAACGAGACACACGTGTGAAATGTTGAGCAGGCTCAAAGAACACACGTGAATGAAAAGGAAAAAGATAGTAAATGCAATGGGGACAGTTTTTAAAGTGGTTCGGATGCTAAGGTAGCAAGTCCTACGTCCACTGATGCTTATATTGATGATAAGGGTCAGGTCGTTTTTAGTTGACTGACTTTACAATAATATTACAAGGTATCAAATGCTAAGAATTCAAGGGAAAGAGAGAGTAATTAATCAAGTTTAAAAATGTGCGAATTCCCCTTAATGAGAGAGGTGCTCCCAATTTATAGTGGGATGCATTGAAGCAATGATCACTAAATCTGTAAGTTGGTGGGATTATCCGTGTAAATCTTCTTTATATCACATTGCCCACCTTCCAGAGTGATTTGTGCGATTTAGAGTAGGGGTTGAACATGTGGGATCACCACAGCTCCTGGCTGGCTTGACGCGCACCCACTATTCTGACGGAAACAGGTTGTGGTTGTACCCATTATCTGACTCTTGTAGGCTGACTGGACCTGATTTAGCCCTTATATTTTTTAGGCATAACATATGTTTTAATTATCTGGCGACTACATATAACATATGTTTTAATTATCTGGCGACTACATCTTTCTATTTTATCTTGTCTCTTGATCAACCCTCCATTTTCATGACATTTAATTCTCGATAATATTTGCAATGAAATTTCAAATCATGTCATTATTATAAGATCCCTTCTTCGTGTACTACTACTTTTCTTTAATCATATATTTAATGAGACTTAACATTAATTAACTATTAATTCCCAATTTGGCTAATATTTCAATAAATACATCACATGATAATTAAACTTCAAAACATATGTGATTCTCGTGCATGCTTATTCCTTTGCCAAAATCTTCTGCTCTTTTTACATTTCATTTTTATTAATTGAGTTGTTTCAAAATCACTCATCACACTATTTTAATGGTCTTTTTTCCTAATAGGAGGCCCAAATCAGCCCAATTTGACTTGTAAGGTTCGTTTGTGGATCTTGGTTGGGATTTAAAATAAATTATGATAAAAATAAAATTTATGTACAATGATTAATCAAAATGAAAATTAATTGTGTAACATGATGGTAAAAGAGTAATCGAAGATTTCATTAGCTGTTTAATTCGAGTTTTCTGAAGTCTTAATAGAGGTTCTTACCCAATCGATAGTTTTAGGACTCGAATAATTAATTGAAATATGCGCACGTTGACCCAAACACCCCTAGTGGTAAAATAAAAAAATAAAAAAAAGATATGCCATATAACAAAAGTGCAATTTCCCAATAGACAAATAAAATTTATTGAACATTAAATAAAACGATAAATATAAATGATAAACGATACACATAAAACCAGATATATAACATACGATTGATTCCACATTAAAACTTTGTGAATCAAAGACACTAGCCATGCACTAAACTCTGCAATTTACCAAATAAAGACACATTTATGGTTAGCTTATATTGCACTTGAAGATGGTATCTCTACAGATCTCGACGTTACAAATAAATTTTATCTCATTTTTTCTGCATTATGATACCAAAATTCACATTACATTACACATTTGCCTCAAACAAAAAAAAAGCTTTCTTTTGCGAGCTTCAACTAAATCTGAATCCCACATAAATTAATGAAATCCAACTATTGGAGCTTTTGTCGGAGTATCGGGCGGCGGTGATGGCAGCATGGTCAGTGCCACGATGCCACTTGCTGCGGCAAAGACTGCTCCGGCGAGAAAAGCGGGCATGTTGCCTCCTCCGAATAGAGCATCAAAGGGTCCTCCAACTAAAGACACCAGCATCTGTAAAACCAGTAATCTGTAAGCAAAATTTTGCAGGTATGGGTGTTGCAATTATGAATCCAAAACTAAAAATTAGAGATGTCAAATGGATGGAATCAAACTCCACAGGAAAACATACCTGTGGAATAACTATTGCAAGGTTAAGAACTCCCAAGGAAAGCCCTGTAAATGTGAAAATTTTCAAATAAAAATTAGAAGGTGGCTGAAAATATGAATCAGAAACAATTTCTTAAAAGGGGTGGAGGAAGTTTATATACCTTGACCAGCAGTTGAAGATTTACAGAATATGGATGCCATAGCAAATGGGACACTGAAAGTTATCTGTGCATAATGTGAAGAAGTTAATATCAAAGTAGAAATTTAATTTAATTTCTACCATTAATAGCTCAAAAAAAAAAAAAAAGATTTATTTGGATAAATTACAAATTAAGTTACAATATTTATTGAGAGAATATAATATATAAGATGAGTGGAGAAATCCAAATTTGATCTCAAGAATCATAAGAAACAAAAGGTCGGTACAAAGTAAAAATAAATAAATAAAATTGACCTTTAAGAATAATGCCAAAAGTTAGAAAAATTATAACAAAGATATAAGATTAAATAAGTGCCTTACCAAGACAGATTAATAAATATGAGAAAATATAAAAAAAAAAAAAAGGACATTGAAAGCATTGAATTGAACCAATTCTGGTCCAATCAAATCATTCAATTTGGCAACAGTCAAATGAAAAATGACAAAATTACATTTTCTTGTTTTTTGTTTTATTTGCTAAAAGAGATTTCAGCATTTATTTTGCATGTGCTTATGAGTAAAATGAACCCAAAAATAGTGTTTTATGTAGAAGTAGAACCCATATTTTAAAATTTTACTTAATAAATTTAGCAAAGCAAATTATGGTTAAATTTTATTTCATAAAAATAAATTATGCTTGCAACATGCCTTAAAAATCAGGATAAAATCATACATCATTTATTTATTTTTTTTAAAACTTATAATAGTCTACCCATAAAAAATTGAAAAGAGAAGCTAAGTTCAATTGATTTTTACTAAATTTTTAATTTTCAGTAAATTTCATAAAATAAAAAAATAAAAATTCCACAAAATTTTATCAAATACTTCTATTTTTTATTTTTTACAAAAACAGAACAAGAAATGCCGCATCAAAGACCCAATTATAATTTGTCACAATCTTCAATAACATAAAAAAATAAGATAAAGTTGAAGAATATCCATTTTCTAGGAGAATCTCTATGGGTGCTCTTAATTTGAAAAAGCATATTTTATATAAATAAAAGTATTTTTATTGATTTTTAAATATAAAGAATAAATTTTTTTTTGTTCAAATCTAATTGACTCTTTAAATTTTAAGAGAGAGTATATGTTTTTCCAAAACGAAAACTTAATATGAGAGATAAATCATAAATAAAATACGTAGAAATATACAATTTATTATTTAAAATTATGATAAACAGTGAAATTTGACTCTCTAAATGTGAAGAATCAATCTCACTCATTAATTTATATTTAAAAAATAAAGATTTAGTGCCTTATTTATATAGATAAAAAGTTTGGGTGATATAATCAGCTCATAATAAATTAAATTTAATTCCAAATTTAAAATCTCATAAAACTTACTGCTTGAGGGATCCCCAGCACAGTGAAGATAGCCAAAGCACCAACTTTCACACCAACCGACGGTGGCAAAATATGGCCGGTGGCTCCACCGCTCACGGCCGCCACCCCTCCCCGATTCGACTCCGCCATTTTGGTAACCAAAAGTGTCATGGCCAAACAAAACGCCAATAAAAAATTCACAATCCCCCACAGTCTCTTCACCCCGCCAACCGCACGTGCCAAATACTCAACCCCCAGAGACGTCAGCCCCAGAACGACGGCGTTTAACATTAAACCCAGGGCCCCGGCCCGCACGCCATCGTTGTACGTTTTCAGCTCCTTCGCACTCCCTTGCGAATTCCCGCCGTAAACCTCCCGCCCCATCCAGTCCGTGTCGAACAACAAAAACGGGAACCATGCAATCCAGTTGAGCGCCGTAACGAGAAGAAGAATCCACATGGGTTTTTGTAATCCCTTAAACGCGGTAAAAATTTCTCCAAAAAATGGCACTTTTGAGTTTGACGACTCTTCTCCGAGCTTGTCTCCGCTGGCGACAATCTCGCCGCCCTCGTTCCCGGAGTTTTCCGGCGACCAGGGGTTTTCGCGTACGTAACTCAGAGCAGCCGTGGTTAGCGTTAAGAGGAGTGTTATGGAGAGAATGAAACAAGTCTTGAGGTTCGCGCAGTAATAATCACAAGATTTTGTTTTGGTAAACGGGAGCATGTGGTAAAGATGAGTGTAGGAGCCGGCGGCGTAGCCGAGAACGTTACCGACCGCCATGAAGAAGGAGAAAAAATTGTTAGCGGTCCGAGTTTTCTTATGGTTGTTCCCGGAAAGATCCGCGAGAAACGCCCGGCAGGGTCCCTGCAACGTGTTGTTCGCGACGTCGAGGATCCAGAACCCGAGAACAAAGACGGCGATAGCCCGCGGTTTGATCTGTCGGGAGACGGAGTCCCCAAACAGGTGTCCCAAATCGGCAGCGAAGCCAATGAGGAAGACGGCAATAGCGACGAGAACAGCCCCGGCGGCAATGAAGGGCCGGCGGCGTCCGAAACGGGAGGTGCATGTGTCACTATGGAAACCAACAATCGGCTGCACGAGTAGCCCGGAAACGGGGCCGCAGAGCCAAATTAGGGAAGCCCATTTATGAGGGATTCCAAGAAGCTGAACGTAGGGAGTGAGTAAAGAGAGCTGAAGCGCCCAGCCGAACTGGATCCCGCAGGCAATGGAGGCCACCGTTACAATCTTTTTAAAAGACTGTGACGATGGCTGCTCTTGCTCGAGCTGCTGAACCTCCATTATTTTTTCTTTTAAGTAAAATCAAGAACGATTGCTCAAGCTAAGGAGAAGAAGATAAGAGAAATGTTGGTGTTGAGTTTGTGGGATTTGCATGAGAATTTATAAGGGAGAGACTTGAGTTGAGTTGCATGAGGGACTGCAACTGGCGAGATTTCGGAAAGAGGCTTATCCGAGATTTGAATTGTTGTCTGACTGTGAATAGTGAGGGGGTAGGGGGTACAGAATCAGGGGGGACACTTGTTGGACGATAATAAATTGTAATTACTAAGTTTAGAAGGGGAATTAAATTTTGGAAATAGATTATTCACAGGAATTTATTAGGGTGAAGACTTTGGGTGTTTTATTCCTTTGGGAGGGTCTCTTTTTTTAGTGATGATGGGCGTTTATAATTAGATCATACAAGGGCAGATTGAAACTTATAACTTAGTGTGATTATTATTCTAAAAATAAGAAATAAATGAGGTATTTATGGATGAAAGAGTTAATCAATTATTCACGTGAGGTAGTTAAGTTTTACATGTTAAAAACTTAAAATAAACACTAACAGGAAAATTTTGTAAATATTTATAAAATTATTTACATGTTAAAATAAGCAATAAGTGGGAACTTCAGTAAATATTTATAAAAGAATAAATTATTGGGATTTGGTACTTACAACAGAGTCCTAATCTTATTTCTTTAAACCATCGATCTTTAATTCTTTCGTCCATTGAGGGAGATTAATGTCCTTGACTCATATCTCCAAGGTAGATGGGATTATAATAGAATTTTGTCAAATTAATAATGCTATCATATCACTTGGGACAATATTTATGTTAATGCTTGATTTCGACACCAACGACTAGCAGGTGTAAAGTGCTAAACGGATTTAGAAATTACACGTGATATAAAAATGTGCAACGAGAGAAAAAACAAACAAACGATTTTTAAAGTGGTTTGGATGCTCAAAAACGAATCCTACATCCACTAAATATGTAGTAATTGATTATTACAGTCAAGTCGCGTGCAGTGAACTAAGTTACAATCTAGAGAAAATTTAAATACAAAAAGAGAGTCTGCTTTTGAAAAGTAAAGAATGAGTGAATCTTTTAAATGAGAGAGGAGCCATCTATTTATGGTCGAGGGATTCAAGGTGGTAATCATGATTCTGCAGTCGGGCAGGTGTGGTATACTTCCTAACCCGCTTCCCATTGGCTGTCTGCATAGAAAATGTCCTTAAATCGCGTAAGACTTGGGCAGGTGGACAATTCTTAGCCACTCACAAGCCAGACTTTCACCTGCCACACTGACAACAACCTTATCTCTTCCGTCCTTGTGTGAGGTGGCAGCGTTTCAACGGTACAAAGCCTTCCTAAACTCTGATTGGCCCTTGCTAGCGTGAGCTTGCGTCAGCCCTGATTTTTTAGGCATAATAGAAGCCCCCAGTTTTTAAGGTTTAAGGATTGAACCTTGAGAACTTCATGATTATGCCGTGACTTGACTTATCCCTAGTGACGCCTGATCGAGCTGTATGAGACAAGCAATTAAGATAACGTGAAACTAGTGGTTCAACCCGACCATCGAGTTTAAGGAAGTCGCAGCATAGGTCTCTAAGAATAGCACAAGCGACCTGAGGCGGCATTCTCCCATAAGTTTAGTGACCTGGGTCGAACCCTACTCAGTGCTATACCAACATGCTTTGAATTTCATTTGTCGCTCGCGACCTGAAAATACTTAGCACACTTTTATCGAAAATAAGGGATCACATCGTCTCGAAATCGATACATGGCAAAGAGTGTTTTATTCGAACGACCTCTTCAAATGTTATCCGTTGTGCTTGACAACTGGTCTGGTTAATAAAATAAACTTTATTCTGACAGACGTGTCTCTTGCGCAATAAGTGTCAACCATGCGCATTAAATGTAAGTCATGTTGAAATGACATTCTCTTTCAAAGCATTGAATGCAGATGAGGGCGCATTTAATGTGGAGGAGGTAACCGGGCCAACGCTTGGTTACTCCAATACAGGAAAATACGATGATTGGTTTCCCTAGCAAGCGATGCTTGGGCGGGAGACATTTCTTGCCATTAATTACAACCACGTGTCGTTAATCCACATAAAGGGTAACTTTCATGCTTCGTGGATGTCAATCGACGTTTTCCTCTAAAGTAGATGGCATTATAATAGAATTTTGTCAAATTAATAATGCTATCAGATAATTTTAAAGATAAGGCATAATTATTGGTGGCACCTTTCTTCCTGATTTATAATAAATTTTAAAGAAATCAGAATTAGTGATAGCATCTTCCTCTTTATAAGAATAAGAACATGGTGCGAGGTGTGAAGTGAGAATAAAAACACAGTGCGAGGCGTGAAGTGAAGTGAGGATAAGAACACGGTGCGAGGCGTGAAGTAAGAATAAGAACACGGTGCGAGTTGTGAAGCGGGAGAGAAAGGATTTCAGAATTTGGGTTTTGAATAATCAGACCTTTCCATTTTCCATTTATATTACAAAATTAATAAGAATGAGAGATGTTAAGCGGTTTTTATTATCATAGCATCAAGCTATTTTTCCTCAAGACCTACCCTACAGGATACGTCACTGCATTAGAGTTTAACCACAAGTTCAGAAGGATTGGTGAGGTTAGAATAATTGGGAATAATAATTTTTTCTTTTTTATAATTTTAAATAATTGTAATTACTTGATCAATTATAAGAAAGAAAAAAAAATATGTAAAAGTGGATAAGATCATTTTATCTAAATAAGAGCACTTTTAATTTTAAAGAGTACTTTTCATATAAATAAAGAATCAAAATATTAATGCTCCTCATTTTATATATATATATCAATTACAGTAATTAATTAATTAAAATCACTAACCACTGACTGCATTTATCCTTATAAAGAGTTTAATTATTATACATTTATAATAAAGGTGTCATCATTAAATTAAAATTAAAAAATAATTGGCTAAAAGAGGATAAGTTAAGTAAATAATTAATGAAGACACATTATCCATTTATATCCGGTGAGGAAGATGATGAATGAACTTGCGCACTCCAAAAAAGACTGCAACCATACCTGAAACCCTCAGACATTTCATTTACTTTAATCAGGACCAGCCTCAGCACTTGGCTTTTATTTTTTATTTTATTTCTTTATTTATATATATTACCCATGCATGCATATATCTTCTCCTTGAAATTTGTGCTTCTATTGGATATATTGTATTTGTTTCATCCATGATTTTCTGTTTCCATATAAATTCAATATTAAGTTATTTGTTTATTAATTAAATTAATTTATTTACTTTTATAGTTTAAAGTTGAAGTATATATATATTGTGTTTATCTTATTTTCTCACTATAAGAGCATCTTTAATATCTTTCGTATAAATAAACAGCATCTTTGTTAATAGTGTTTTTTATTTTAAAAAGCATCTTTCATATAAATAAAGTATATTTTTATTAATTTTTAAATATAAAGAACAAAATTTTTATTTAAAACTAATAGAATCTTTAAATTTTAGAAAAGAGAATACATTTTTTCAAGAAAGAGAATTAATATGAGAGATAATTAATAAATAAAAATACATAGAAATTTATAATTTATTAATTAAAATTATGATAGAAAGTAAAATTTGACTATTTAGAGAGTCAAACTCACTCTTTAGTTTATATTTAAAGAATAAATAATCGGTTAGACTTTTGTTTTTATGGATAAACTCTTTAAAGTCATAATAAGAATCTATTGAAGATGCTATAAGATCATTTATTTATATCATTTCTAAAATATTAGAAATATCTTTATTAAGAGTTTTTTATAACGTTGTAAGAGCAACTCTAATGAAGAGCATCTTCATTAATTTTTAAATATAAATAACACAATTTTTATTCAAATCCAATAGACTTTTTAAATTTAATGAAGATGCTCTTTATTTTTAAGAAAGAGACTTAATGGGAGAGATAATTAATAAATAAAATGCATAGGAATTTATAGTTTATTAATTAAAATTAGGATAGAGAGTGAAATTTGACTCTCTAAATGTAGAGAGTCAAACTCACTACTTAATTTATATTTTAAAGATAAAGAGTCTGTTAAACTCTTGTTTTTATGGATAAACTCTTTATAATAAAGAGTTTAGATCATATAAAAAGTCATTTGGAGATGCTCTAAGAGGATGTTGGACATTTTTAGATGGGTTTTTAATAATTATATGAAAAAGTGGGTAATTTAACAAAGCGTTTTCAAAGGATAAAATGGAATAAAACCCAATTTAATATAAAATTATCTAGAATTTTGGTACTGCACATAAGGTAACATGACCTTTTATGAAGCATCAAATCACTTAATTTGGTACTTGAAGTAACATGACAACCTTATGAAACATCAAATTACTTAAAATTGAAACATAAGGTAACGTAACATTACCGCATTATGTATTATCAAATCTTCTTTAAAAGTTAAAAGGCCAACCTAACATTCAAATGGAATAATATCAACCTCCGTCTTAATCATTGGTGGAGGAATAAATCAATTTCGACATTAATTCCTCCACCAACTTTTCTTTGTAAATTTACCTTATCCTTAAATATACTTAAATCAAAGCAGTTTGACAAGTATAAAAAAGAACCCTTTGTTAATGCTAAAGACCCCTTGATATGCTGAATTTACTTATTTATCACATTAAATAATTAATTCTGAATTAGGAAAAAAAGGAAATATTTATTTTTTAATATTGCCGTGATTATTTTGAATTCAATGAATGGGATCACAATGTAGCAATATTGGAGTTAAGGAAAACACCATACTTACATAGTCAACGGGGAATCTCAATAATTAAAGGAGAGTACGCAAAAATTATCTATACGCAGAGAGTGGGGAAAGATATTCATTCACGAAGCACGACGAAAAAGCTCTTACAAATGGCGGTCATGGTTGGTTGATAAACCACGCGCCCTGCGTGAAGATTCAGAACGTGGGGTGGGAGTGTTTCACGAATCGAGATGGCACAGAGTGAAATGGCGGCGAATAATTGGTCGGTGACTTGAGACAAAAGCGTCAAGGAGGTTTGTTGGTGTTGACTAATTGGTTACGTGTGTCACGGGCCGGTGATCGGTTTTTACAGGAAAAAGTGGTCAGAAAAATTGGCCGTTTCTCATCTTTTGCCGAAAGCCACCAAAATTATTCAAAAGCTTTTGATCGTTTCATACGCCAATGTTTTCTTTATTATTATTATTATTATTACTATGCAAATAATGTTTGTTTTGACACCATAAAAAGAATGATAAAAGTTATCAAAAATAAATTAAAATTGTAGAAATGAGATATTGTTTTAATTGTATTGTAATGGTGGTGAGAAAAAGACCTGCATAATTGATATTTAATAAATTATTGAAGTATAATGGGTATAATGATATAAAAAATTACATTTAAACTTTTAAGTTGGAATTGTTTGGCAACAAAATTAAATTAAGATTGGATTATAATGGATCTACATCCATCCACCTTCCATGAAGTAAAACAAACAAGGTTATTGAGATTGGAGTGTATTATATTAATAAAATCCTTTTTTTCAAGATTGATGGGAAATTTTGATTCTTATATCCAATATTACATATTTTTAAATAAATAAATGAATTTTATAATTTATATATAAAAAATAACTTTATATTTGCTTTTCCTTTTCATTATACAAAATTTAATATTTTGAAGATTTCTTACCCTGTCTAGAAAGCCTATTTGGGGTCAGTTCAATTCAACCCAGCCCAACCCAACCCAAGTATAAAAAACTCGAGCTTTTTCTTAGCCGAATATCCATCATCCACTGAACCCTAGAAGTTCTTATTTTAAACGCAAGGTCTATAAAATAGGAAGTGATTCCCCAAAGAAATTTATCACTTAAAAGAAGAAGAAGCTGATTCTGTCACAAGGGAAATTTACTCTTTTGGAATGACAAAATTCTCAAGGTAAACTTGGCTATTAAAACTCTCATGGAACAAGGAAAAAAGAAAGATGAGGTATCTAATGCCAATTTGGTAGTTAGTGAATTAGTGAAAAAGGTCCTAACTTTTGTAAGCTAATGAACCCCTTCATCCATTCCTTTTAACCACCAAACTGATGAACTCTCTCGTTGATTCTTTTTAACTATCGGCACTGATGACCCCCTTTTGGGATTCCTTTTTTTTTTTTTTTTTTTTTTTTTAAACTGCGGGAGTTCAAACCAGCTTATACGCACCTTAACTAATCTTTCGAGGTCTTAAAACTATCAATCGGGTAAAAGTTCTAATGACTACCTATATTAGTAACTGAAAAGAGATTTGAACTTATAATCTCTTAAGTAATACACCTAAGAGTTTCTATCGAACCACTTGACCACTCAGAAGTGGTTCTTTTGTAGATTCCTTTTACTATTGTTGGTTTTGCAAGATCATAAAGAGATGACACCTATGTCGATTGAATGGTTACCCAAACCAAAATGTTGTAAGCAAAAGATTCATTTTGGACCATTGCCAAACATAAAGAAGTTAAAATTAGGTTAGGAATTGTCACTACCTAATTTCACTGTTCATATAATTTAAATGTAAAACTAGTGAATTTAATAATTAAATACTTATAAATTATACCTTTTAAAAAAAAAAAACAAAAAAAGTTATCGCAAATTAAGTTGTAAATTAGAATAAAGGGTTGATGATAGATAGGGAATAAAAGGATTTCTTTTTTAACTTTATTAATTGTATTGCTTTATAGTCAAATAAAGATTAAGACCTTTTTCTTTATTTTAACACATGGTAAAACCTATCTATAGTCATAATGGTGGGACTAACTAATTTTATTACTATGAAGAGGTTATAATTTAATAAAGGTGTAGTTATAAAAATTATTGTTTTGATTTCTTATTTTATAATTCATGTTTTAATAGTATAGTATTGAGATTTCAATTTATATTTTAGTATTATTAGGATTTCAATTCAGCGCTTTAATTGCCTACTTTTGAAACAGATAGAAGATCGTATCTTGAAACCAGTAAAGATAAGTATCATTGATGGAATTGTAAATGCAGTTAATGCATGGTTAATTGATGTAAAGCCACAGAAAATTGCCAATGGTTTTAAGGATTGCAAAATTAGGATCCCTAATATCGATGAATTGCAAGTTACAAATGAAGTTAATGAGAAGAATAAGAAAGTCATTGCAGAATTGAGTGATCAAATTCGACAACATCAATATACTAATCGAATGGATATTAATGTTTGCTTCGATTATCCAAATGAGCAGCAAATCGTGTATGCTTTAACCAAAGAAGAAATCATTGTTGCAATTAGACAAAAGAAATAAAATAATCCTGATGATGATAGTACGAAAATACAAAAAGTTTTGTGTCATGAATCTATAAATATGCTTGAGAAGCTAAAAATGTTTTGGCTTCAATAAGAAAGTGTACATGCTAGCGAGTTATTACGTATTCGCAAGATAAAAGATGTGGTAACAATTCTAAAACATAAATCATTGTCCCAAATAACTTTAAAAAAATATTTTATTTCATCTTAAACCTTTAATGTAACATAATATATATTTTTTTGTAATATACAGATAATTATTACTATGTAGAGACAATTTTCCTTAAGGTAAGGATTAGAAAAAATATAACTTATTACAATGTGAAGATTATTCTTATTTATAACTATTCTAAATTAGGATTAGAATTTTTTATGACTATGTAAAGTTTATTCCTATATAATGTATCACTATAAAGAGGTTTTACTGTATTTCTTTTTTCTCTTTTAAATTAGAATAAAGGGTTCAATCACATGATATGTTGTATGAGAATAAAAAAATAAAATAAAAGAAGTATGTTCATTCACAAGATATGTTATATGAAAATAAAAAAGAATTAGATTCTAAAACAAAAGAAAAAGTATTAAAAAAATATATTTAAATTTTCGATATTCTTCTTTTATTTCTCTTCAATCTAATGGCATCTTAATGGAAATAATTGAAAAGACATAAATATTCTTAAGCCAATTATTAAGGAGAAAAAAACAAAACATCGGTGATTCTTTCGCGGTCTAATATTTCTTACATTTTTTAACCCTTACCAATTGTTAAATCTAAGAGCAATTAATTTCTTTTTTTGGGTTACTTTTTAGTGTATTTTGAAATATATGCACTCTTTTAATAATTTTCTAAAAAAAAAAAAAAAAAAAAAATTGTCCTTTGATTGATAATATCCCTTTCTAGAACTAAAAAATTATCTAGAATAAAAATCTAATTTTATATGATTAGTACTTGTTTATTTTGGTTGGACCGATGTGGAAACACATTACATAACAGAGAAAGGCTATAAATTTGGAATGAGGTTTGTTAGGATAAAATACGAAGTTCAAATGGACCAAAAAAGGCCCATATTACCAAGACCCAATATCTCATGGGCTGCTACCAACTCAAAGCCCATGGTCCAACAGCCCAATAAATGGCACCAATCATTTAGAATAAGCCCACTTTTTAATAAAGTTTATAATATTAATTTATTATTATTAACTTTAATTTTCTATCCTCTACAAATACTTTTAACACCTTACTTCTATCTTATGCCATTCAAATAATTATTAGAATAAAAATTAGTTTAATGGAGGAAGAAATTTTGCAATAGAATATATTAGGTTACAAACAATACAAAATTACAAGTTTTTAATTATGTCACATATAAATTTATTGTTATTTTTTTCTACAAAATATTGGTAATTTTTTTAATCTACATGTATTTTGTGCTGTTTAATTGTATTATGTTCTTAAGATTATATTGTAAGGATTTTCTTAGCTTTAATTTTTTCTGAAATTTCAAGTTAATTATTAAAAATTTTATTTTAGGAATAAAATGTTAACTATTTTAAAATATAAAAAATTGAATGAAGGGCATTTATGAAATTTATAGTGCCATAAGTAAAAATATTAATTTTGAGATGTAATGTTTCTAGAATTAAGTCTTCATTAGTGGGGGTGTCAATAGAGCTCTAATTAAACACTTTTAACCGAGAGATAAACCCAATCAAACAGACTCGAAGATTAGAGGACCTTAATTTTCTACAAGAATAAGGTTAATTCCTAGTTAAATTAGAATCTTCAAGAAAAATGATAAAATGAGATATATATTGTAATTGCCAAGATGAAGAAGGTGATCAACTATGATTATTAGTTAGAAGCTTGAACAAAACTAGAGATAGAAATTATCCATTATGGAAATTTTGTTTTGCACTCTATAGCTTATGTGAGATCAAAATTATGACCGAATTGTAAAGTGACCCCAAAAAAAAAAAAAAAAAAAAAAAACACAGGTGCTTTTGATTATTATAGAAGGAACTGAAGTATTCTGTACATACAAAAACTAAAACTACTAAAAGCTATATATAACTTTTGATATCCATTCATTCCAAGCTTTTAAAACAATTAAATTCCCCTTCTACAATACTTTCTCACCTCAAATTTCCATTGACAAAAACTAATGACTCTTTATCACTTATCATTTCCTCAACCAGGACTCATAGATTCAACCAACATGATTCAAGGAAAATTTCCGAACCCAGGCCCCTCCAGTGCCGCACCAGTTTCTTTTCTGCAGCATATGATTATTATAAACTTCGAATTGTGTCAACTCGATCGATGACGTCCAAGGCTTTGATGCGATCGATGTCGAAATCAATGACGGGAACCGAAGAAGGTCTTCGAATCGGAAAGGGGTCTTTCTTATTTTCACTTGTTGGGGAGTGGCTATTACTTTTAGTCAATCTATGGTGCTTGCTTAACCTGGTTGTGGCAGTGTCGAACTCTTGGCTCTTACTTATTCCTGGAGCCTTTTTCCTTTTACTTACATCGCGAAGCATCTCTTGATCTTCAACTGTCAACATGGGAGACGGCGGGTGGGCCTTGTTGGTAGATAACTGAATTGTCTTTTGGTTGGGGGATCGAATTGGGGATTTAACAGGAGATCGTATTCCACCATTGCTAGCCCTCACTTGTGTCACGAGATAGTGAAGCCATACAACCAGTTCGAGAATATATCCTTCCGTTTTATCCTTATCCGCATGGTGTAGTGTCTCAATCCTGAGCAACTCGGTCTGGCCAGCCAGTTTGCGATTCACCTCAGCACTGTACAAATTTGATGAGAAAACCCTTAGCTAAATAATGTTGAAAAATAGTAAATAAACAAAAAGCAAATTAGACTTGTAATTCACCCTGTGTTTGCCCATTCTCCAACCCAACCAAATCCGTGATGAGCCCTGGTAGGACCATATTGCAAAAAGAAAAAATATGGTTAAGTAATAAGTAAACAAACTTAGAAGAAGAAAAGACTCAAGCTCATCCATTGTAAACACCACAGTTGCAAGGGATGTTTTTAATTACTAACATTGAAAACGGGTAATCAGGCATCAGATATAAACACAACCCAGAAGGAGAAAGTTATGGAGTTTTACGCAGGACAGAAAATCCTTACTTAGTTGTGTTAGTGGCAATAGGAACAAGCCACTGCAGAGTTTTCTCCATTTCTGCCTTTATTTGTGGGACAGTAAGCTGCAAGAACAGCGTTTGAACAAAAAAATTATCAATCAAAGCATGAGTGGAAAATAAGGCTATCACAAACATAAAAGATAGAAGTCAATTGAGATGTCAAATGTTGAAAATATCAATCAAATACCTCTTCCTTAACCTGGAATGACTGTACTTTGGCACGCAATGCCGACTTTATATTAGGCGGCAATCCTTGGTATAGAGCATCCCTTGTGTTTGGCGGCACAGAACTTGATCGAGACACCTGATTATATTCAGAAAATGTTAAACAGACTCCCCAACCAACATTCTCCAACTTTAGTAGAAACATAAACCTCTTGATTTCTTGATTGAGAAAGTATAAAAACAATTAATCTTTGCAGGTAAAAATTGGAAAGGAAAAATGCATAATCTTCCTCATGTTAAGTAACGACAACAGGTACCAGATGAAATAATTAGAAAAGTGGTGACATCCAATATAAAATATCCCTGTAAGAGTTGTAAAACCATCTTATAAAAATAATTGATTAATTTCAGGTCACAAATTCCCCTTCAAAGGCAATAGGGGTTCTTGTATATACAAAAGTCAATTTTGTGTTACTTCAATATAAGCTACCACGTATTCATGCCCCAAACCCTAAATTTAAAGAAATTATAAATCTGCTTAAAATAACAAACTCACAAGAGTATCAATTTGAGTGATAATGTTTGCATAATGCAAGGCAAGACCAGCAGAACCCAACTTCTTTTGACTGCTTGGAGAGCCTTTTACTGGTTTATCACCATCTGCAAGGTCACAGGAAAGCATCATAATAGCTCCACTGAATTAGTCAACCCATTGAATATCCTAAATAGTTTAAAACAGTTGTTGAAGACCATAGTAGTAAGTAAACAAAGAGACGTAAATAAACAAGATTGATAAATTTAAGTGGGCAGGAAGGTTATTGTCTTATAGATTGATCAGGATTCTAATGAAGCTTTAGCAAGAGATTAGATTAGAAATATTTTCACAGTTCAGAGGGAGACTGAAAATAAGAAACTAATAACTTCAATGCTTCACAAAAGCTTCAATTTCTAAGTCATAAATTGTTCACTTACAGTTTATGAACATGAAATTCATAGTGCAAACAATCTAAGAACTGCAAACAGGGATGTTGGCTTCAAGAAAACCCCTAAGATCAAAGGATTTCCCCTCTGTACTCAACTAATCCTTAATTCCCTACTCCCCTTTAGACTAAGAACTGCAAGTCAATAATCTAAGAACTTCGTGGGTACAAAAAATCTAATGACTCCTATAAGATATATGACTACATGGATTTATTGGTCCTCTTAAATAACAAATTTTCTATTTTTCCCCTTTACATAAGCAAAGAGGGAAAATAATAGATTAAAAGAAATAGAAAAGCCTACTGGCGAATTCAGAAACTCAATTCAGGGTCTATAATTCTCACCAGCAAAGGCTTCATGAATCTCTAAATGCAAGAAATGGACAATGTCTACAAGCTTCTCCATCACCTGTGAACAGAGGATATTAGATATGTCTTGTCAAAAGTTAAAAAGAAACATATATAAAGTTGTAGAGCAAAGCGGGTTATGTCTACATAACCATTTCGAAAGATGCAGTAAGCATTGTCCAGAATAAAAGGAGTATTCTAGAGACAGAAATCAAGGGGGAAAGAAAGTCATTAGCAAGACTGAGTCAAAAAACATTCAGGAAACACTAAACTGACTTATTTATTTCGACATGCACCAAAATAGTAAACAAAGCAGTATTGTTGATTACCTCTTCCAAAATCCTGGACCAAAGAGACTTCTTTTGCAAACTTCTTACATGTTTCTTTTGACTCTTTAACTCAGCTCTCAAGATTGCAAGGCTGTCTCCTACATGTAAAACAAACATATAGATAAAATAAAACACAATTATATATATATTCATTAAGATCACAAGAGAGAGCTAAATCAAGCTCATCCTCCATTGTTTTTCAGAATTTAAGGAGGGATCTCACTAGAACCAAGTAGTATCCCAAACCTTAGGAGTGTCATAGCCTCAAGTCATGCCCGGCTAAACATTAAAACCAGAGGCAAAAAGGTGGCTTAGGCCGTGCAAAGAACATAATGTTGTGGGCATAGACAGCAAACATGAATGCAAAGTTCAGAGGCATGATGTTGATAATATAAGTTTCAGTAAACGATAATAATAAAAAAAGAATCAGAAATTTTTGATGCAGAAGTGTTAATAGGCAAGGCACAAGGACAGAGAAGGGCCATGACACATTTAAAAAATCGAAGGAGATATGCAATAAATTAGCTAGGCCTCAGTGATTATTACAAGTTAAGAAGAATGGTCTCCAAATGCATATGTGGGTCATAGAAGTTTTACACACTCAACCATCACATAAAGAAAGATTAGAAGCAACTATTTTAAACTAGATGACTGAGATATTATTCTAAAATAAAATTTCTAATAGCAAATCCAAGCCGAAATTTACCTCTTTGAGTAGCATTTGAATTATCCTCTTCCTGAAGCTTACGTCTATAATCTTGTTCAAATCTGTCCAAGGCATGCAATTCATGATATAATTCCTGCAACCGAACAAAATTGCCTCTCCTTTAGCAAGGCTACTAGCCATAACATTCATGCAGTGTTAAAAACATAGGTACATTTTTTCCTCCCTTTGATTCTTAGAACTTATAAAATAAATAAATAAATGGACCAGCAATACTTTTAACTACAAAGAACATAAAATAATACTCACTGACAAGGCTCAGTCACAAGTTTATTAACTAGGAAGGGCACTGAGTCACACTTTAATTGATTATCAAATTACTCTTCTTAAGTTCAACAAGCTGAAAAAGTGAAACCATAAGGGACAGCTTCACATTTATAGTTTGCAAATCATCAGCAACAAACCTTCCCTTTCTGTATTCAATATTGAATTGATAAAGACTGACAAAGCTATGAATAAATGAAAAGAAACTACAGGTAGCTAAATGATTAAAATGCATCTAAAATATTTTTTTACAAAGGTAACAAAATCAATATCATATTGTTTAATATCATAGCATTTAAATAGAATTGACTTATTCCCCAAATGATTGTGATTTGGCAAGAAATTCAATTCAACTGAAGTAAGCAAAAACTCGAAACTATTATTATTATTTTTAATTTCTCTTTTATTTTTTATAAGAAAAAAATCTATCATGTAAGAGAAGAAGGATTTACAAGGAGGAGAACATTGTGAAGTAATATAGAGTCCTTCAGCATAAGGTCATTAGAAGCACATATGGCCTTCAAGCAAAATGGATGGGATTCAAAAATGGCATCTTACGGATCTCTACAAAGCCCATGGAAATCTACATCTAAGGAGTATACTATCTTCCTAAATCATATAAAAGCTTGAAGTAGGTATGGCAAACCATTCAAATTTAGGAAGACAAATGGATTCAAGATCACTTGTTTTTCTGAACTTCTCCCCGATTTATGTAGTAGCAAGAAAGATCCAGTTAGAGCTCATACCTCCAAATGTAACCTGGGGCTAGATATTCAATCTTAAAAGAAACCTCAATGATGGAGAAGTCACTTAATTTTCCGATCTGATGGAGTTAATGCAGCAAGTGAGCATAGATGATATAACAGAATATAGAAGAACTTGGAAACTGGAGATTTTGGATATTACTCATGCAACTTATGTCAGGGTGTTATCTTGAGGAAAATGAGACGTTCATGCAGTTCAATTCAGTGTGGAAAGCCAAAGTGGCGGCCCAAATCCAATTTCTTGCAAGGACTTTAGATGATGAAAGAATCAAAATAACGTATATTGTGAAAGGAAAGTATCCAAACATGAAGTTATATATTCATGGTGTGTGTGTTATACCAAAAAAGCCGTGAAGCATGTGATCACTTACTTTTTTTGTTGAACTATAACTAAATTTTTTGTGGGCTAATCTCCGGAAGGAAGCTAAAATAAGTTGAGTCAGCTCAGGAAAATGAAGTGACATACTCAAGGAAGCTAAAATAAGTTGAGATATACCCACAAGATGACCATCGAAAAGATCCCAAGATCTAGAAAAACCTAGAATCACACAGAGGTTTACAAACAGTCCCTTTGATTTTAAAAGGCAGCATTTTAAGTATTTTCCCTATAATGCAGGTCAAAGGAGATGTCCTGGAAAGGAATTACCACTGTAGAATTTACACTCGTAAATCCACAGTATTCTTCAGACTGGAAATATCCTTGTGCTATGAAGGAGGAAGCCGGTACTACAACTAAAAAAATTGGCTAGCAGGAATCCTTCGTCAACATTGGCTGGGTGGTGAGAGGCAAAGGTGACTTTGAGTTTTGCTCGGTTGAGTGAGCAAGGATAAGTTTTCAGCCCTTGAATCTTTTTCAGACAGAGAGTTCTTTTTTTTTTTTTTTTTTTTTTTAGTTTTAGTTTTTGGTTTTTCTTTTTTCCTTACCTTAACCAATATGTCCAAGCCCTAGGTCCAAGCTAGAATTTTTTTCATCCCTACTTTCTAGACCAAATACCAGAATGACTTTCAACCAGAAAAACAGAGACAGATTGGAGTAACACCAACAAAGTGATGAGAGCTGAAAAAAAAAAAAAATTCAACCAAAAGATGCAAAGCAATAGGGCAATGCAAGAAGACTTCGTCTATGCTTCAGCCTCTTTTTTGCACATAAAGCACCACTGAGGATCAAGACTCAATATTGGTCCTTTCTTTTGAATAATATCATTAGTGCCTTATTAAAGGTCCAACCAGAATTTTCACTTGCAAGAAATTCTTGCCTTCCAAATCCATGTAGAAGGCTCAAAGAGAGGAATAGTTGTATCATTACTCAACTAGGAGAAGAAGGATTCAACAGAAAAGGATCCTTAAGACTCCAGGGGCTACGCCCTTTTATCATCCCTAAACTCATCAAGGTAAGCAACTTAAAAAATCACCAAGGATCACCACACTCTCGGGCCTCTCAATCTTTTAAACTTCTTGAAAATTTTAGGTCCAACTTTATCAAAAAGAAGAGTGCACCACCATGTTAGCTATAGGAAAGCCTTGCCAGAAGACTCAACTAGGAACGTAGTATGGGAAAACCACTATTATAGTTTCATGTGCAACACCCTCTTAGTTTCTACTAGACTCAATTAGAAACTAGATAGAAAATGCAATATGGGACAACCACCATTGTAGTTTCACATACAACACCCTCTTAGCTTCTAGTAGCATCTTAAATACCAATTAAACAATATGCAACTAGACAATGAAGTTGTGATTCAAATATCATGGAAAGCGATGACAAGACTGCAAATAACAAACTGTTTACATTGGCAGTTTCCATTGGTTATCAGATCACAAAACTCAAGGATTTAAAAAAAGCTCCTTACTCATGCAAGAAAAGATAATGGAAATTAAGGGGAAAAAAAAAAAAAGACAAATCCAAGGAACCATTACATGATATCGTTAAGTCCATCGAAGGCCTACTTTTAAAATATTCCAGCATGAGAAAAGAAATCACAATTTCCAAGGGACTACTATAGCCACATAATGTCATGTAAACTGCAACTTAGCAGTGTAGCTTTATCAATCAAACAATAATGTAAAATACTTACAGCTGTGTATTGAACCATAGTAAGTAATTGTTGCATTATTGCTTCTGCTTCTTCCTTCAGTTGCTTTTGCTGTGTAAGTTCAGAACCCAACCTATGAAATAGAAAAGGTATCACAAAAACAATATGAGATCCTAATGTCAAATATTAAAAAAAAAAAATACTAACAAACTAAAGTAGGCAAGATGTTGCAATTATTACTTTGCAAAATATCGGTCCAAGTTGTGCAACTGAGGATCTTTACAACGATTTCCAAACCGTACCACTTCTCCAGAAAAAACTTTCAATTCTTCTCTGTCAGAACAGTACAATAAAATGATTTATATTTTTTCTTTTCCAATATTCATAGTAAATATAACCAGCAGATAAGCTCATTAATTAAAGAAATTTCCGAAGAAATATAGCATTTTTTTGGCATTATCAACCTCTTATCAGTAGCAGCTATCCTTAAGAGTTCATCCATATCTCTGGATATTAAATTTTGAACCCCTTCTGATGGAAGCACCACCTCTTTTAAATGTCTGAGGTTTTCCTTTGAAAGGGATTGCATTAAATTGGCACCCTTTACAATTGTGTTTGCAACTTCAAAAGCCAAGATTGAAATTTTATTTCCCTTTGTTGTCACCCCAGATGTAAATCCACTGCCGACGTTCAAATTGGTCATGCTACTACCAAGTGTGTCCAAAACTTCCACTGCCTTCCCAATCCCAGCAGTACCAGCTCTGCCCAAAAGAGAACTCACTTCGGAAACCTATAAGACAGAAACAACCGATTTATCCATTCAATAACATATTGACCATATAGTGTATGACACATCAATACCTAAATTTAGAGATCAATGATTATAAATCTAAACAAATTAAGTACAGAACAAAGTGAAGAAACCACGATGAAAACCACGGCAAACATGAAAATACCAGAAAATAATAAGGTCAGGATACTATGAGCATGAAATTTATGTCAATAAGCAATTGGTGAGTTAAACAAGTTCAAATGATTATTTAGCAATTTTGCATGAAGTGGGAGCTCTTTACACTTAAACCCATGTTCTTATGCTCGCAAACAGAAGGCTTTTAACATTAAACTAGGCAAGGATCAAATTTATCAATTTGCATAAGATAGACTGTTCTTTAAATTGGCCCAAATTGTCAAGATGAGAACACTACTGTTTAATAAGCCATAAGAGAGAATCTGAGCTAAACATATAGTATATTTAAGCAACAAGCTCTTTGAGACCTGCTTAACCAAAATCTGATAATGAAATTTTAGTCCCAAATCTAATTGCGATTTAGACAGGACAGATAAGCATTCTAGTGGTCTACAGTCTAAAATATTGCACCTTTTAACCATCTTCATTCCAATGGCTGAAACTTCAGTAACAGCATGCGCTTTAAAACACAACCAACAACAGCAAACATCTAGTAACTTTTTCATGCCATAAATTACCAACACATAACATATTATTTATTCCAGCCCAACAGAAAGTTAGGACACACCTTAGCAACGGCAACCTGCTTAGACTTGGTTGATCTAGATTTGTGAGATAGAGCTCTTGATAAGCGAGGAATCCCGTCATTGATGTCATCTGGATACGCCCCGTATGGAACTGCACTACCCCCAGGAAAGGAGAACGGCTCTCTCAACTGCTTATCATCAACATTCTCCCCTATAGGAGAGGGAGTCGAATTGCTATTTACTTTCAGTTCGCGGGACTGATATACCAATGTAGACCCATAGTTAAAATGACCATTAACACTCGGAAAGCTTTCACCGGGAGCATTATCTACATTCGCACTCCTCGAGCAAAGCCCTCCCATTGTGTTGATCACCGCGATAATAGTTTCTATCTTTGTCCAAATTTTTCCATACAATAACCAAATTATTCAAATAACTTTTAGCCCTTTACCGAATTAAAGTAGCGTCAATCAACTTACCAAAAGTTTGATCTACCTCACACTAGAAATTGAATCACACCAGCACTAACTCTACCTACAAAAACCCTCAAGCTCCATCAAAATTACCAAAGCAACAACAATTCTGATCACTGATCAAGCTCCAGTCCATCAACACCAAAGAAATAAACTGTAAAAACCAAAACAACCCACAAATTAAAATCCCACGGTCAACAGAAAAGAGTCAAACTTTACATAAATGAACAATACCTAGTTCAGAAAAATTAACTCCAAGTTGACTGAAACAGAAACAAACCCAGATACAATAACCAAAAACCAAGGTTCACAAAGAACAAAAAGATGAAAAATTGAGATCATTACAGAGAAATAGACCGAAAACCCACATGGGAAACAATTAAACCAAGGCGAAAAAATGGATATATAAACAGAAAAGCTTACAAGGAAATGGATCTGTGAAGAAAGAGAAAGGGCCAGCGGGGGCAGGGCGGGGAGACTTTGACGGTATCAGCCCGCGTCTGTCTTTCTCAAAAGCGCACTGCCAGAGGAAACCCAAAAACAGGAAGAAAAAGACAGTCAAAAACCCCAAAGCCAAATCAAACTCATAGCATTCACAAACACTTTTCTTCTCTTTTGCTTGACATGTTTTCTTTGTTTTTGTATTTTTTTAAAATAATGGTTTCGTTTTTCTTAACCAGGGTTTATTATTGCTACTGGGTTTTCTGAAGACTTCACACTCACCACTTTTACCAATGTCAATTTTTTCTTTTTCCAATCCCACTCCCCTTCTTCCACGCGCTTGTTTTTCTTTATATATCTTATTTGGGTTTTTGTTTTTTCACCTTTGCTAAATTTTGCCCTAATTAAAAAATGAGGAAAAAAATTATTTATTTAAGAAGCTTTTTTTATAAATTTTATGAAATTTAATTATAGATTTTTTTACTATTTATGAAAATACTTTTTTAGTTTTAACGAAGGTTTAGAATAAAATCATGAGATTGATAAGACATAATTGAATTTGATATGTTAGTGTGATAGTTGTATTGATTAATTACTTTTATTTATAAGACAATCAACAATTTTTATATTTTACTAAAATTATAATTCAAATTAATCATTAAGTATTTATGATAATTTGTGTAACATTAATCATTAAAAGAATTAATACCATTCAGTATTAAATCATCTAATATCATAACAAATATGAAGCATACTAACGAAGGTAGATGTGAGCTTATTTACGAAATTAGTGGATTCACCTAGATCATACCAAACATTTACATCTCAATTTTAAGTATAATATTATTATTTTATGCAAACCTAGTTACTAAACAGCCCCAAGTAATTTAATCGTTGTCTAATTCACATTCTTGTAATTGGAAAAGTGACTAAACTCTCAATTTCTTGAGTTATTTTCTCAACTTGTATTACCATATTAAATTTTGATCCTAATTTTGAAGAGATTAAATGTTTTTCAAATTAATTGATACCACCCTATCTGCTTCTTTTAGCATAGTATTATTTGCAATATTCGCTAACTAAAAAAGTAAATAAGAGTTGGAGAGTGAAGTCACGCGCCAGTGGTGGGAGTAGGGAAAGGAACAGTAAAAGACTTGAAGCATAGCGGCGTGTTTGATGTAAGAATAGAATAGCAGCTCAGTCACGTTAATCAATTTATTTATTATTATTATAATTATTCAATTTATTTATTATTATTATAATTATTCAATTTATTTATTAATTAATTTCTGAATTTGTATGCTCTTTAATGCAAATCTTTACGACTCTAATCTTTACATGCAAAGATGTAACTCCCCCACACTCAATTAAAGAATAAAATGGATCACTTATGGTTTTAAAATAAAAGTTATATTTTAAATTAATTGTAATTAAATTTGATGTATTATTCAATAGACACCACCCTTACTGGTCTAATTGAATGTTAGTCAACTATATTAATTAATCTTTATCTCACAATTTAAACTTATGGGTTTATATGATTGTGTACCAATAACATTAAACAGTAAATTTGTAACGAGAAATATAAATATAATATATAATGTCAAAGATTGTGATTAATTAGTACGAGAGAATGGGGACAAATTCCCGAAAACAAAGAGAGATAAAATGAAACTTAAAACAAGGCCAAAGATTATGGATAATAGAAATTGAATGAGACAGAGAAAGGAAGAGGCCCACATTAATTGAATGAGGTTTTGTTGATATATGATGGACTCTCATCAGTCAACTTAGTTGCCATGCCAAGTAGGCCCACTTTTACAATCATGCTTTGATTACTTCACATCCTCATCCTATTTCTTTTCACCATTTTTATTACTTTATGAAAATATTTTATATATTACATGTACGAGGAATTATCAAAAATTAATGTTTAAATATTTTTTACCTACTGATTAAAATCAAGAAAAATTTAAATTCCAATCATTCATCATCAACTTTTGACATAGAACACATAAAGACCAAGACTATAGTATTTTTTTTTCTAATTACAAGTGTTTAATTTCATTCATCCCTTTAAGAAATAATTAAGATTCAATCATCCGATGATTTTTGGAAAGTATTAGTCTATTAGATATATCCATAACATTGTCAAAAACCCCTACAAAATATCATAAAAATCACTAAAGAAATAGGAAAAAAATAACTATGAGTATTAAAAATACCTTAATTATGGGTGCATTAAACACTTTTTGAAAAACATTACGATGTTTGAGATTTAATTATCTCTCAATGAGCGAATAAAATAAACCTAAATGTTTAATAACACCTTAAAAATATTTGATTCCAACTAAAAAATTCAAACTTACAATAAATTCTTCACCAAAACATTTTGTAATTCATTAAATAAAGTCTTGATTAGGATAATGGTCAAACTTGTAGTCAAATCATATGGTCATCTAAATAGATCCTAGCCGTTGATTAAATTTACTCTAAATGGGAATGGGAAAGTGGTCCAACAAATAATAGTAGTTAATTATATGGTTCAACAAGACCAAGTCAATTGAGACTTTTATTGGTTTGGAGCTATCTTTTCTTTTCCACTTGCAATCATTCAAAACCATTTATCATGATAAGGTAATAGATTTGTACAAACTCTTATACAAAGAAAATTTGTACATGAGACATATCACAAAATATATCATATAGTATTAAAAATCATGTAACTTAATGTTACATTAATATTATGTAGACCCCTATATCACATGGCATTCACATAATGTATTACGTCATTTTGTGAAAACTCTCTTTGTACAAATAAGTTTATCCATTTTGAAAATTACCCATTAAAAATTATTGAAAATACGGTATATTTAATGTGTTTGAATGAGCAAGATTGCATCCAAATTATGTCATTTCAAGATGCATTAAATTTACAATTTTCAATATAATAGATTACAAGGTCTTAAATTAATACAAAAATATTAGGGTTGAAGATTTTTTTTTTTTTAATGTATAATAAGGGTGTTCGAGCTAACTTATATGCATCTCAATTAATTCTCGAAGTCTATTAAACACCTTACAAGTTTAATGTTCCAAGAAATCTACAAATGTTATAGGTAGTCCTAAAGTTATTTGACTCAAGAAGTTAATGAAGAGAACAAACATTCTTGCCCACCAATGCAACCCCTCGAGGGTTGGTTCAAGATTTTTGTGCAACATGAATTATTATTCTTAGCTTTGTATTCCTTATAATAACTCTATTTGAAGACTAAATTATCAAAACATTTTAAATTCCATTTGTAAATTTTTATGTGGTCTACTTTTTTTTTTTTTTCTTTATAACCAAGGTGTCTGATCAATTTATGCGTACTTTAACAAATCCTCAACATCCATTGAATACTATATAAGCCCAATATGACAAGTAAGTCACAAATGTGACACAAGATATATGAGTAACACATCTAGATAACTAAAGTCTTGCCATCAGACCACAAGGCTAATGGTTGTAGTTTGTAGTCTACTTCACCATCACTACAATGAGTAATGCTACATGTACAGACAAATCTTATAAAGATTTATATACAAACTTATGTGTTACAAAATGAATGGAAGAGTATATACGATAAGTTTAACTTTTTGTATTCACTCTTCCATTCATTTGTCGTCGCGTCAGTTTATACACAAATCTTTGTAAGATTTGTTTGTATATCTAACATTATTGCACTACAATTGATCTTAACTTACTTGGTTTATACTTTGTACGAGGAATAATAGTACACTTATAAAGAAATCTTACAAAGATCTTCATACAAAGTGATGTGATAAAAAATGAATGAAAGAGTAAATATAATAAGTTTGACTTTTTGTTTTACTCTTTCATTCATTTGTTGTCATCTCACTTTGTATTAAATAGACCTAAGCAAGGATCGGTACCAATCGAGTTTGAGTCTAGGCCCAATTGGGACCAATCACTCATGGGCTTGGGATTGTCCCAGGCCCATGAAAAATTTCAAGACCCGAAACGGTCCCTAAGACCAGTCTTTAAGGCCTAGAAAATTCCCCCCTCCCCCCTTCCCCAACTTTTTTTTTTTTATATTTAAGGGGCCAAACAAAATTATATAGGAGGGTTTATGTAATTTTTAGGGGGAGATTAGTAAATTTTTAACTAATTTTAAAAAATAAAAAATAAATTAATGATTAATTATAATTAATAATTATTTATAAATATAGGGTGTTTTAAATCTAAACTTTAAAGAGATAATTTAATTAATTAATTAATTTTTAACATAAATTTAATATTCATATAACTATACTTCACAAATAAACAATTAAATATATTGTTTTTATTAGTAATTATTTTTTAAATTTGATAAAATATTAATTCAACCCTTAATTTTTTGTCAATACTAAAATTTACGAGAGGTTTTCAGATATTATCCAATGACTTTTGGAAAAAGGGTTTGGCCCGAGCTTGGGACCCTTGGAGGAGAGATCGAACCAGGGCCTGAGCCCTCCTCCATGGGCCTGATCCAGGTTTGGGACCAGACCTTCTAAGACCGGTCCTTTGTCCTAAGATCGGTTTTTTGGGCCCAATCCTAAATTCTCACCTCTAGTATTAGAATCTTTGTAAGATTTCTTTGTAAGTATAGTTTTATTGTTATACAAGTGTATGTATATACAACTGTCCAATTAGTGAAGATCGTCAAGTCAGTAAGCTCAACTGATTGGTTCTTAGTTTAGCAAAAAGAATTATCTTGTGAAAAAAGAGAAACTGCATGAAGCATCCCCCAATAAATTCAGATATAGCACAGTTCAAAAACTGAATAACAAAAAAAAAAAAGAATCTACAAGTAACACGAATTTGATGAACTTATTGGCACTACACAGCAAGTAAACTCCCCAAAAATGCCCAACTTGAAACTAAGGGATTCATCCTGCGTCGGCTACATTTTCTCTTCAATATCAATCTAAACCCAACTGCAACATCAAAGGCAAACTTGAGTTGGTTGTTCAGTAGTACCGTTATTACTTTCGCCGGGGAATGAGCATGGAGGGTAGCATAAATTGCATATTTCTGGAGATTTATATAAGTAACATAGCAGCTCCAACTTCTTTAAAAGCATGGGCAGCAGTTACCAATCTAGCTGCTAAACACGAAAAGAAATGCTAGATTAACAAAAGCATTACGCGTTGCAAGAATAACAAAGGTATAAGT